GGTAAAAATTTATAAGAAACTAGCAGACGCCGCGGCTTCGCTCGCGCTAAAACTAAAAAATATCTCTACAAAGGTAGGTTTCATACAAACTTTTATCCTCTATTTTACCCCCTCAATGGATGAATTTCGAAAAATCCTAAAACACGTATTTATTAATTTGTACTAAAGAGTAGTAATAGCAGGTTTCGAGTAATTCTGATCAAAAATATTTTTTAGTTTGTATTATAACCTGTTTTTCCGTGGGAATAAAATAATCTCCCGCGGTAAAAAGTAGCCTATGTCACTCTTCAGCCCTCCAACTATCTTCACACAGAAAATCACGGTAATCCGTCACTCTGTTTCAACGTGAAAGAAGGACAAACAAACAAAAACACTTTTACATTTATAATATTAGTATGGATAGGTAGGTAAATAGCAATATATTTTAAAGTTGTGTGTCGAGATTTATCTTCGAGATAAGCTTTTATCTAGAGATATTATGAAATAAAGTCCCCCGCCGCGTCTGTATGTCTGAACGCGATAAACTCAAAAACTATCGAATGGATTTTCATACAGTTTTCACCAATGATGGAGATGGAGTGATTCATGAGGAAGGTTTAAGTGTATAATTCGGTTAAGGTTTTGTGTAAATTAGTTGAAATATGATGATGACTGTTGAAGATGTCGGAAAAAATCATGTCGACTGGGAGCTTTATTGGCTTGCGCTGCGTAAATTAATAAAGTTATATGAAAACAATGTATTACAAAATTATTCCTCTTAAAAAGATCTTCCTATTGAATTGTAGTAACGCTATGTGTACGTACATGACGTCACTAGTATCATATTTTTTATATTATAACAAAATAATGGATTTATAATATTATTTAAAAGTAAAATAGAACAGTGTAGTGAGTTTTTGCCATTTCTCCAGGACTTAGGTTGTATTATTTAAATGCTGAATAAAATTTTTTTCAAATGAAATGTCGAATATTCTTCTAAATCTATTAAAGTATTCGTTTTTCTATTTTAAAGTTAAACCTATTTGCACGATACCAATTTTTTTTCTTTAATTTATTCTTGATTACCTATAGAAAAAAATCTTTATTTTTATATATGAGAATCATTAAGCTATTATTATATCAAACCCCTTTTATTAGCGCTGAAAGAAAACTAAAAGTAATTAAATATAATCTATACTTAGCTGCTGGTAAACTTCAATGACGTTGTTAGTACAAGTTGGCAACTTGTATATTAATAAACTTAACACACGTGTATACTATAAAATATACGTAAGTATCCATACATATATCATGTACGTTTTATATTCAGGGCTTCTACACGGCCTTTAATATAGTAATTCGGTAACACTTCCTTAGATTTACTCGAATATTTGATATTTTTAATAAAAACCAAAACTAAAAATAAAAGAACGTATTGTGTACAGAATATAGACAATAGTTATTAAATATTTTGTTTGTTTTTCTGTATGTCTGTGTTAAATCAATGATCAATAAATTTCATCGAAATCTGTTCATCAGGCACACTTTAGTGTGAGACGATAACAGGTAGAATTACATGAATAATAATTTTAGTACCGATGGATTATTTTAATAAGTTAAACAGCTTCAACGATGCAGTTTGAGCTCCAGCGGAAAGCGATGTACCAGAAAATAAAACTATATTTTTAGTTCTAAAATATAATATTATTCGAAAACGACCTACGAAGTAGAAAAGAGAAGTTAGTTTCTTCACAATAGATACCAAAATACGTGACAGATCGTATATAAAATGCGTTCTTTGTGATATTTATGACATAAATATTTTGAACGCACTTGCTATTTTATGTTTTTGTTTACCACAAATAATTTTACTATTGTTATACAAAGCTTCAAAGAAAACATCATTTAAATATCGTATATTATTTACTCGCTCTCGAAACACAAATAATCTTTTCAATATTGTATTTTACTGCGTATGGAAAGATATTGTTTTATATTTAAGATCAATTAATTTTTAGAGGATTGTTCAAATTATTTAATTTTACGAAAATTGGAAAATAATAATCTTCTCTTATATTATAAATAAAAATGAATGTTGGTAAGCGCATAACTTAAGAATGGGTGGACCAATTCGGCAATTTTTTTTTCGTTTTTTTCGTCTGTCTGTCTGTCTGTCTGTCTGTCTGTCTGTCTGTCCGTCTGTCCGTCTGTCCGTCCGTCTGTCTGTCTGGAGGGATTTTGGTGAAATTTGGTATGATGATTTTTACCGCGGAAAAATATCAGATTTCTGAGAAAAAATAAAAAACTGCAATGTAAGAATATAGTAATATGTAAAGCCTAAGAATTTGGCCTTTGATGATCTGAACATGGGCGGAGCTGTGGGCAATGCTAGTATCTAATAATTTTAGAGCAAAAGAAATTTCATATTTCAATCATGTCAATAGGGCATGATAGAAATTTCATATTTCAAGTTAAGGGAGGATTTTCCTACAACTTTTTCTATTCCGATGATCTATCGTTTTAGTTATGTAAATCTATTGTAACCCGCAAAATTCCCAAGTTTCAAGAACTTTGGAAATGGGAAGTGTAAGATTGAGTGTCAGTAAAAAGCTAATATAAAGAATACATAGGCTAGAATACACAGACTAATAAAAATAAAGCTTATTTCACACTAAAATTTATTATGGATAAAAATGTGTAAAAAAGGTGAATTGATATATAAAGCAAATTAGTTAGCATATAGTAAATTGTAAAATTAATTAGGTCGAGATTCTCGTCGCATATTTTGAACTGAGCTACGCACATAGTTCGAGTCAGTTGCAGTATTCTGCTAGACTATATCATCAATAATGAAATTAATAGTTCAGAATTATTAATAAAAGTATATACATGTACATGTATGCATAATGTTCAACTTGAAGTTGTGGCGTGTAATAATATACGGAGTATCTATCTGTTCTTTAATATGACGAGTAAAAAGAAATTATTCGTCCTTTACAGAATATATAATACATATTATAATGAAGGACGAATAGACTAATAAATAAGTAAGTAGAATAAGTAGCTCGGCTCAGGTTGGTAGATTAAGGTTATATTTTATTGCATACAGAAACTCCTGCACTTAAAAACAATTTTTGAACCTTAAAAATTCTTGAACTTAAAAATCGTTGGGATTTAAAAGAATATATTTTAAGCTCGGTAGGATAAGGTTATTTTTTTCTTTTTTCATATAAAAACTCCTGCACGTAAAAATCACTTTTTACACAAAAAAACTTGAACTTAAAAGTTATTGGGATTTAAAAGAAAAAGTATTTAGCTCGGTAGGTTAAGGTTATTTTTTTTGCATCTATCTTAGGAAACAAAAAAGTGGTAAATATTCATACAAACCGACAATAGTGGATTGACAATGGACGAATAATATATTTTTTATTCATCTGATTATGGGACGAATAGCAACAGCCTCCTTTATTTATTATTCGTCCTTTTTCTTTCGTTAACTTTTTTTTTCGTTAACTGCCTCGGTGGTGTAGTGGCTAACATGTACGGCTGCACACCCGGAGGTCCTGGGTTCGAGTCCCGGGTCGGGCCAAGTCTTTCTGTATAGTAAGTCTCAGTAACAGCCCGGAGTTGGGAAATTGGCGGTGTTTCACCCCCGTGCCTCGGAGAGCACGTAAAGCCGTCGGTCCTGCGCCTTAACTCTCACCGGTCGTGTCGAGTGGTCGTCCCACCGGAGTATGAGAGTGATAGGAATAGAGAGTGCACTTGTGTCTGCGCGTACACTTGAGCACTATAATATCTCCTGCGCAGTTGGCTAATCTCATTGAGATTGGCCGCCGTGGCCGGAATCGGCTAGGAGAACATCATCATCATTCGTCCTATTAAATAACGAATAATTATTTTTTATTTGTCCGTATTTTAAGTACAAACAGCAAGAGGCAACAATATAAATCAAACAAATATTTCCCTTATTATTATAATATGGAGCACCTTTAACTTAAAAAGGCTTTCTTATGGGCATTTGAAAAGGCTTCAAGGAGAAATTGTTTATAACGATTTCAAAGGAATATGAATATCTGTAGACCGTAAAGTTATTTATGAATGTGCAACGAATTCAGTGCTGTTGACAATGTAGGTAATTTAAGCTGAAAGGTTTGAACGGTGACAGAAAATTAGTATTTTGATAATTCTGGTAATTCTACTTTGTTCTAAGTCATCACTTCTCCTCTTTCCTCAAATTATTAAGGAGATATTCTTTCAAATTAATATTTTTGTTACACCTACAGGAAAAGTAAGATGGTAAAAATTATATGGAAAAACATTTATTAACTGATCTACCCGTAGTAAATTTTATTTTTTATGGTACGCTAAACCGAAGGTGAACAATAAATTTTTCGTGTTTGGTGAAATAACACTTAAATTACGTCGGAAAAACGAAACGAAATCCTTGAATTCGTAGAAACGTTAAATAACATTATATTTTGTTACAGGTCTGAAGATAATTCTTGTTCAAACCCGTTCAACAGACTGGTGAAGAAAATATTACTTGTTTGTACTAAAGAAAGATGAACGAGTCAAATGTCAACTATGCGTATATGTTGAACGATACTGAAAAGTTAAGGAATGTTTCAAGCTATCTTTCACCATCACCCCATATACCTGGTTATGAAAACATAATTGACAACAAATGGGTTCAGGCAATTTTCTGCGTCATTTACACGATTATCTTTGTTTTGGGATTGCTTGGAAATATTTTAGTATGTTTTGTTGTCATAAGAAATAAGGCCATGCAAACTGTAACCAACTTATTTATAACTAATTTAGCCTTATCGGATATTTTGCTTTGTGTATTTGCAGTTCCCTTCACTCCTTTGTATTCATTTCATGGTTCATGGAGTTGGGGTTCTATTTTATGTCACATGATGCCTTTCGCGCAGGGCTGCAGCGTATACATATCAACATTAACTCTTATGTCTATTGCTATCGACAGATTTTTTGTAATAATTTATCCATTCAGACCGAGAATGAAAATAGAGACGTGCATCTCTGTTATAGTCATGATATGGACTTTCTCCGTCACAGTTACATTACCTTACGCCGTGTTTATGACTTATTACGATATAAAACTTGGCAAATTTTGCGAGGAAACATGGCCTAGTGAAAAGTTGCGCAGAATATTTGGCTCAGTCACTTCAACCCTTCAGTTCGTCTTCCCATTTACAGTAATTGCCTTTTGTTATACATGTGTCAGCTTCAAATTGAACGATCGCGCAAAAGCCAAAGCGGCCAGTAAGAATGCTAGAAAAGAGGAGTTCGATAAGAATAGAAAGCGTCGAACAAACCAAATGCTTATTGCAATGGTCACTATTTTCGGTTTATCGTGGCTGCCTTTGAATGCTACAAACCTCTATAATGATTACTACATATACGCTATCCATTCGAAATACTATTTCCTTATATTTTTCATGTGCCATGTGGTCGCAATGTCGTCTACTTGTTACAACCCTTTCATTTACGCTTGGATGAACGAGAATTTTAGAAAGGAGTTCAAACAATTAATTCCTTGTATAGACACAGCTGGGCAACTTCGAAGCAATATTCCATTAGAGCAATTAGGTGTAGGCCAGTCTGAGAAGACTTTCAATGGGAACACTACAACGGATAGCTATCTCGGCTCAAGTTCACAGAGGTCAACTTCGTTTAGACATAAAAGGAAACCTAGTGCTGCGGCAGACGTAGAAAAGAGTGGAGTAGAATTAAACGAAGATTTATTGATGGTTGATGTGAAGCATTGCCACATTTCTACAAGTTATAATCTGAGACGAGAATCTGTTAAACTGAGGTTAATTAATGAGGAGTCCTTTGATGGGTCGCCGACGCAGAGTCAGTTCTAACGGTTGATTTCATGGGTAAGCTTTTTATTTATCTTTAAGCTGTTTAATTAATTCTAATATACCTAATGAATAAATTTTATAACTATTCATAAAGAACTTTGTTGACATTTACTGTTGTAGTGCAATTCGGTAAGATTTTTTTGTAAGTAGGCTGCTGAATCCGTGAATATTTTCACACACTTGTATGAAGTGTAATAGTGGATTCAGCTGTCGTACGTAAAAATTTTTTACAGAATAGACCTACTGAACTGATTGTAATTTTAGAACAAGTACAAATTCCAGTATAAAAATGTAAACAGTAGTTCAATGAACTAGTTTTGACAAAGCAGTCACATAGGGTGTAGACGCCGAATCGTGGGTGGGCTACAAGTTTCGAGGCTATCGAGCGTACATTTTAGGTTTATGTTACAATTTTTATTTGCATAGGCATAGGATGACTTTTATTTATTTTGTTAAGTGACGATATTAATATGTTACTTTACGTGTACGTACGTATCGTTAAGATAGCCTTGTTTTTTAGTCTATTGGGACTCCATATGATTTAGTTTTCAAATTGCTTTATAATTCCTACGTCAGTCAGTACATAAAGAAGTGTATCTTTTTTGTTTTCTATGTATGTAATAGTAGTGGTATTGGACAGTTTCTTATGACTCAGAGATGCTATTTTTAGACACAATAGGGATTTTACGTGTTAGAGTGCCCCAAGCTAGCTTAAAAAAGACCTAAAGTAACATATTTAAAGGCATCGCTTCCAGCTGGGCTTGTTTTAATTAAACTATAGTTCAAATGACCATATCCAGAAGCAATGCTGATGTGTTGTCGGCATTTACGAGTATAAGTATACGTATGTCGAGATCATAGGCACTTGCATTTAACTGTGATTTCGACGTATAGTAAATCTTTAGATTTTTTTCTAGTTCGACACGTGTTCTAAAGGTAAAGTCAAAATTTTTAGTCTCCTTATATTATATTAGCTACAATGGACCAAAGCTGGTCGACGTAGCTAGGGCCGACCTCGGCACCACACCCAACATAATAATAATAATAATAATATATTATATTTGTTCAGTTCGAATAAAATGCCTCGCTTTTAAGAAAACAGACGTTTATTTTGCAAACTTCTGTGTGAATGATGTATAAAGTTAGTTTTCAGATTTTAATATTATTTTTTATTTTCAGGTACGGCCATGGCGACGTTCCCACGTATAAAAAATGAGAATAAGAGATCCCAATATTTTTGGAATATATTTTTTGTACCGAACGTCTTTGCTATCGTAATTTTGATGACTTTGAAACGTCAATACGCTTATGAATTTTGATGACATCTTTCGTGAAAAGTAGATTCCTATACAAATAGATTTAAGCACGTTGGTTAGATCCTTAATTAGCAGCACTGCCACTCGTCCCCACCATGTCTTGTAGATTTGGAAAATTACAAGTATTATAATTATAATCTTGATATAAAAAATATATTTTCATTGTATAACTTTCACTATATTAGAATTTTGGACTCAGCTATTTGTTTTATAATTTTAATAGTACGCAGTAAAAATACAATATTTTAAACAGATTTATGTTTTGTGCTCTTTATATCTTAGAGACTTGAGATAGAATATTTTTTTTACATTGGAGCATTTACTTCTGTAAATAATAGAAATGTAATTTAATTCTGTAAACTGAGTCCATTTGGAGTACTCAAGTATAATATATGCACATATATATGTTTGAACTGGCTTATTTTGAAATTTTATACATAATATGTATTATATATTATCAAATAAAAAAAAATCTATTATCAAATTTTATAAGAAATTCGAATTGATGAGAACATAAAGCATAAAAAAAACTTAAAATTAAATAACACCTTTTAGATCTTATGAATTATCATCTAGATTTACTAAAATTTGCTGTGAAATTGTAATTTATCAATTTATATTTAGTTAAGTTAGTAGGTAAATGTAAAATTGATAAAATAAATATTATAATTATATTCAAAAATTGTGGGTGTAATATTTATTGTAAACAAATAAAAGATCTAATGGAGAAGTATGCATTATAAAGAAATGGTATGTAAAACTTATAGATCTTCTTATTTGTTTTTGCCAATTATACGAGTAGTTAAACGCACAAATTCTACAATTTTGTGCAAAAAGCATTCTAATAATATGATCAAATATATATAATGTATCTATATCAATCTTTAAATATCGAGATTTTAAATTTTTATCCGGTTTTTGGGGACAGTACCTACATACTATAGTGTTAATTAAATAAAGAATTTTTAAAATAAAATCGAATTACCTTATGAAAAAGTAGCAATAGCAAATTAATGTTAGTATTGCACATTTTAAAAATAGCATTTTTGTGTCATAAGTTAGAAGTAAATATTTAATACTAAAGCACAATTTATGTAGGTAGTAACTAAAATAAAAGGTATATATAATAATATAATATATATATATCCATGTTTGTATATAACAAGAGTAAAATAGGTCCAAAATTACTGAATTTTTGTTGGAAGTCTTCTTCAATTGTCTAGTTTTCAGAAAGGTAAATCTGCAATCTGACAATTTGAAATTTTCTTATGGTACCATGGTTTCTTATGAGTTTGGTGCTGAAAATGGTAAAGTAAATAAAATATGGAAATAAGACTAAGTGACGCGGGTTCAATCCTTGGAGATTTCTCTCACCTCTGAGACTTTCTAGTGTGTATTATTACAACATGGTCAACACTTGCATGGTCGGTTAAGGAAAACATAGTGGGAAACCTCCATGTTTAAGACAACCTACCTACATACATACAGGAAAAGTCCTACCAACAGCATGGTCAATTTTGGCTAATCTCCTTTTTGGTAAAGGGAGATGCATGCCCAGAAGTTAAAAGGGCTAAAATACTAACGATCAGACTAAACTAAAACCCTGACTATATCACGTGCCTTTCACTAGCTCCATGCAAATGTATCCCACGGGATGAGATAAAAAATTCAAGTCGATTCATTCCAGCGTAAAAAATCAACAAACAATTTTTTACATAAATTAAGATATTTAGATATTAGAGCGTAATTACAGCTCATATAAAAAGAGCATAACTTTCCCATAATATATGTATTAATATTTAGTGTCATTCCTATTTTAACGACATAGTTTGAAAGTATATTTTAGATAGATTAGATTTTTCGGACCCTCGCTGGAAATTGATCCATATTACATTACATACATTTTTGTAAAATAGTGGCACTGTCTGTAACAAGTATATGTGTTTGAGACGTCTATAACCTTAATCCCTCCCGTTACCATGATTGCTGTAAAGCATTCGAAACGTCGGGAACCAAAAATCAAAAGAAATTCGCATAATAATCCGAAAAGATAGTTTTATTTAAAATGTCAAATATTCGCGTAAATCTAAGAAAGTATTATTCTAAGAAAGTACATAGTTACATGGTTAGTTTTAAAATATTTTAATCCAGTTTGGAATTAGTAAGCAATTCAGTCTTTAAAGTCGCAAATAACAATTAGTTTTCTATTACCACAACCGACTGGAAAAAGTTAATCGATTATAATTCGCTAGAGAATTTCAACGTTATATGTATTTATTATAATAATTTGAAATTAGGTTAAGATACATTTCAAAAGATCTATGAGAGTGTGTTTCATTTTGATACGCACCAATATTTAAGATAATGTAAATTTAAAAAATATATGTATGTACTTAGGTCGTATCGATTGTTTGTAGTCCACCCTTGAAAATTTTAATAACAGTATTTTTATTTACAACAAAAACAAATTTACTCCACGGGAACCGTACATTTTCCGGGATAAAAGTATCTATGTGTTATTTCAGCTTATAATCTATCTCTGTGCTTTTCATCCAGATCCGTTCAGTAACAAATATTCATCCAAACTTTCGCATTTATAATATTAAATGGGGTTATTGGGATAAAGGTAATTACAAATATATTTAATAATATTATATACAAAACAAATGTAAACTTAATTATTACTGTACAAGTCTGAAGTTAGAATGGCAAAAATGCTAGCCGCATTCTCCCGCTGAATGGCAATGCCGATTCTTTGGGCCGAAAACGAGCCTTTTCTGTTTGTATTTAATAAAATTAAAAAATTACTAAATTTATTAGTAAATATGAAGATATTATTGTAACTACTATGTACATAATTTATTTTTATGTATGTATGTATCTTTTAAATGTACCTATTATATACCTACATAGTAATAGTGTAAAGATTGAAAAATAAACATATAAAATATTCCTAGCTTAGATATTTCTTAGACCATATAAATATATATATTTATATTTTGACCTATAAATATAGACTGATCGTTCCGTATTCTATTGTAAAATGCTATATGAACGAAAAAATAAGAGAGATAAAATGTGTAGCTGTCTTTTTCTATAAAGATCATGTTTTAGTTGTAAAGGCTGCTACAGAATATTGGATTTGACCATAAATCAGATAGTGGCTGACTTGTATGTAATATGTAAATACTGAATTCATATATGTAAATACACGTTTTTTTTCATTTTTTTTTTACAATTAATACAGGAAGTGAAGTCAATCTTTATAAAGTAAGCATTGTATATTGCTTAACATTTTTTACAATATATTTAACTAATTTGTAAATGTAATTTAGTACGTGGTTTTTTAATTGTTACCCATACTCCATGTCTAATAATAATTTATGTCGGTAATCGATGTTTGTTTCGAGCGGATCAGATCATCTTGATGGTTGGACTGGTGTGTCACCACTTTTATTTTTTTTAGGTAATTACTATACAACCCTTAAGATATATTTTATATAATATTTATTTATCTATTTTTCATATATCATATCTATCTATTTATTATATATATTATAATAAAATGTATCTTTTATCTAAAGGCAAATTTTTCCTTTTGGTATTAGATGTTTTATCAAATTTCTTAGAATGACTCTACATACCAAATCAAATACTGCTTAGTGAACCAATAAAAGTTAC